TACAGTGGGCCATTCGAATCCAACCCATAAAATTAGGGGACCCAGGAAGTCACGAGAATCCATTCAGGCAGAATGGACTGAGCGTTGTGAACAGGCTTTTGATCAGCTGAAGCAGAGGCTCACAAATACCCCAGTCTTAGCTTATGCCGACCCCAATCGGCCGTATGAACTACATGTAGATGCCAGTCGGGATGGTCTTTGGGGAGTATTATATCAGGAGCATGATCAACGTTTAAAGCCCATTGCATATATCAGTAGGGGTCTAACCCCTGGGGAAAAAAATTATCCCACTCATAAGCTGGAATTTTTGGCACTCAAGTGGGCGGTGGTGGATAAGTTGAGGGATTATTTGTACGGGGCAGAGTTTGAGGTTAAAACGGACAATAATCCACTAACGTATTTGCTCACCACCGCTAAACTTGATGCAACGGGCCATCGGTGGCTGGCTGCCCTATCGGGGTTTAAGTTTGGGTTAAGATATTGGCCAGGGGTGGGAAACATTGATGCAGATGCGTTGTCAAGGAGGCCTCAGGGTCCAGGGGCAGGTATTAGGGAGTGGGTGAAACTGCCCCCGGATGGTATTCAAGCGCTGTATCAAGGGGTCGAGCATCGAGCTAGGGGGGCAATTGGGGCCGAATCAGTGTGGGTTACCATCGCAGGTGTCCCCAAATTATACTGTAATCCGATTCAGATCAGGGGGGAGAGTAGGTTTGCCCTGACTAAGAAAGATCTGTGGAGAGACCAGGTGGAGGACCTTCTCTGTGGTTTGGTCGAAAAAGCTTTAAGAAGTGGCCTGCGGGAGGTTCTACTCACTGATGCACCCAGGGGAACACGAGCGCTGCACAAGGAGTGGGACTGCCTGCAGTTCCGAGATGGAGTAATCTATCGGAGGGGCTTCTCGGATGGGCTCGAAGATAGATGGCAGCTCTTGCTCCCGGAGAAACATAGAGGAGCGGTACTGTCGGCGCTCCACGACGAGCATGGGCATTTGGGGCCAGAAAAGACCTTTAATTTGGTAGTGGATCGGTTNTTACGAAAAGGCTGCAGAGGCCGCAGGGGTCCGGGAGCGGCGCAACAAAAGAAATTATGACCTGAGAGTGAGGGTCCAGGACTTACAGTTGGGGGACTGAGTGCTCTTAAGAAATTTGGGCCCCGCTGGGAGACACAAGTTGGCCGATCGGTGGAGTTCCCAGTCGTATGTGGTTAGTGAAAAACTACCGGGGCTGCCAGTATACCGAATACGACGGGAGGGGAGCACAGGACCTTCGAAAGCATGGCATCGGAACCATCTATTGCCTTTGCACGAGGTAGTACGAACTACTCAGCCAGTTCCTGGGGATGACTACGGTGTAAAGGGAAAGAGAGTGGGAACCAGAGCGAAACCCGCCTCGTCCCTAGAGGAGGAAGCAGGAGATTCTGAAGAAGAAGAGGGGGGTATAGATTGGTTATGGGCACCAGGAGATATGGGGAGTGTGCCCCAGGCTGTGGGTGGCGAGGAAGAGTTGGAACAGCCAGGGCCTGACAGTTTGGAATCTGCATCTAGGATCTGCGAACAGGAGGGGCCCTCCCAGAGAGTTGAGGCCAGGGGTCAGCCGGGGGAATGGCCAGAACAGGATGGATTGTTGCCCCCAGATATTGTAGAGTCAGGAGAATGGCTGGAGGCGGAACCGGTTATTTTACGGGGTCAGCAATCGCCAGTGTCAGAAGCAGAGTTGCCAGTCCCAGGTACCTCTGAGGGTGGAGGTCCACCAGAGGATGGTGCCCATAGTACTGTTGAACCTAAGGTACAGAGACCGAGGCGGGTGATACGCCCGGTGAAGAGGTTAACATATGATGCCCTAGGACATGTTGTAGAAAAGGAGTGATGCCTACCCCTGGTGCTGTTGATGTCGGGTAGAAAAGATCTCTATTCTTTGGGGGACCAAAGAAACTGTTGGTGGGGGGAGTGTGAAGCGGGGACTGCCTGAGAGTGCTTGCAGGAGCTTGACTGGGAAGGGGAAGATTGGGACAGCTGCAGTTGGCTTGGGTGTGGCTGGCGTGAGTGGAAGGAGGAAGGATAGAAAAGGGAAGAAAAGGAGAAGGCCGGGGTGGTTGGAGTTGAGAAGAGAAGGTCTGGAAGCTTATTTTATTTTTCTATCAAGGGTATTTTA